TGTAGAATCTTTGGTTTCACCATTAGCATTAGCATGTAGTATCTTTGGTTCCACCATTAGCATTAGCATGTAGTATCTTTGATTCCACAATTAGCATTAGTATGTAGTATCTTTGGTTCCACAATTAGCATTAGCATGTAGTATCTTTGGTTCCACAATTAGCATTAGCATGTAGCATCTTTGGTTCCACCATTAGCATGTAGCATCTTTGTTTCCACCATTAGCATGTAGCATCTTTGGTTCCACCATTAGCATGTAGCATCTTTGTTTCCACCATTAGCATTAGCATGTAGCATCTTTGGGTCCATCATTAGCATTAGGATGTAGTTTCTTTGGTTCCACCATTAGCATTAGCATGTAGCATCTTTGGTTCCACCATTAGCATGTAGTATCTTTGGTTCCACCATTAGCATTTGCATGTAGTATCTTTGGTTCCACCATTAGCATTAAACATGTAGCATCTTTGGTTCCACCATTAATATTAGCATGTAGCATCTTTGGTTCCACCATTAGCATTAGCATGTATTATCTTTGGTTCCACCATTAGGATTAGCATGTAATATCTTTGATTCAATTTTTAACATTAACATGTAGTATCTGTGGTTCCACCATTAGCATTAGCATGTAGTGTCTTTGGTTCCACCATTAGCGTTAGCATATAGCATCTCTGGTTCCACCATTGGGGTTCCTTACCCTCATGGCTAGCGGGCTGCTGCTGTAGTCCACCGGCTGACAGAGGAGGCTGTAGTTTGAGAGCCAGGATGTGACCAGGAACTGGAGAACCAATAGAAACACGGGAGAACCAACAGAGACACGGGAGAACCAACAGAAACACGGGAGAACCAACAGAGACACGGGAGAACCAACAGAAACACGGGAGAACCAACAGAAACACGGGAGAACCAACAGAAACACAGGAGACAGAACCAGAGTTAGTCATTCACTCAGCAAAAGAACCTTTTTATTTAAAAAAAAACACTTAAAAAAGAAGATAACATTTGTTTTTCTTACATTGCTGTTAAATATTTGAAATATTGAATTTGAACGCTGGACTCAGAGCTGCTAAGTCTTAGAGGCAGTAAAGCCCCAAACCATGACCCTCACGCCCCCATGCTTCACGGCTATCTGCTAGATTAACTGCTTTATTTAGGATTGATTATTATTTAGTTATATTTATATAATTTTTTTAAATGAATTATTTAATTAAATGTAAGAATAAAATATATATACATAAAAAAATATATATATATAAGAATAATATAAAATATACACATAGGAATAAAATATTATACATATATACATATAGGCTTTATTAAATTAATGTTTGATATTTTGGGATTTATTCATTTTTATAATCAAATATGATTTAATATGTATTTAATAAATACTTTGAGATGTAATGTGGGTTATGAATACAGTGTATTATCATCGTTATAAGTTATTGGACATGGCACTTTGAGAAGACCTGCTGCTAATAACATCTTTATGTACTTATTTTGTTATTTTTCTTTTCACTGTAAGTGGAACAGAGGCAGAGATGCGGCTCATCAACAGGTCCAGTAGCTTTTTCCATGTGACTGATTGTTTTAGTCGTCTTTTGACCCTATAATGCCAAATGTGTCATATTTGATTCATACGGTTTCTGAAGTCTTTTGGATCTGAGACTTTCTGCATCATTCAGTGGTAAAAGCTTTGCTCAAACCCCTGTTGTACACATTCAGATATACCTGATAACAGCCAGTAGAAGACTACACCAACATATATTTTTGACTTAGTGCACGCTAATTTGATCAAAATAATTTCTGTTTTTTTCTCTTCGCATGTTGTTGAGGGGGCAAAGAAAGACTTCAGACTAAAGAAATCCAATATCCTTCCTTTTTTTTTTGTATCAAAATCCTATTGTACACAATCAGATACACCTGATAACAGGGGGCAGAAGACTACACAAAAAATAATCTTGACTTATCGCATAGTAATAAATTATTAATATTAAAAATGTATTTATGTTTTTTCTCTTTACATATTTTGTTAAAAGGCCAAATAAAGACTTCAAACCAAAAAAAAATTCCAAAAATCTTCCTATTTTTCTTGTATCAGGCTTTAAAGGGTTAAAGTGTGTTTTATAACCCTGGAGGCTCCTTTTACAGTGGGGTAAATAAGTATTTGACCCCTTGCTGATTTTGCAGGTTTGCCCACTTACAAAGAATGCCTATTTTTCCTCAATTTTCTTTGGGATTCTGTCTTTCCCTGTTAGAATGTACATATGATTAAAGTTATAGATCGTTGCATTCTTTGTAAGTGGGCA